TAACCGCAAGGCAGCGGTGTTTGGCGGGAAATGCGAATGCATTACCATTTCTACGGAACAAGTCGCCACATGTTCCAACCCCCAACCTGGAGGGCCAGGAGACTGTGTTCGTCAGACCTCTAACCATTGACCAACCTGGTATGAGAGACTGTGAGTGTCGCGGGACGCTCTCCAGTATAGCTCAATGGATCGCTGAGGTGCGCAAACCGTCACACCACGGTAAGGTCCATTCTCTTCGTGACGGGACTGGCTAGCTAACAAAGTGAAAACTGCAAGGACCTACCTGAGACTTCTGAAGTAATCTCAACTTTTGTTAACATTGACACATTGACATACAGAACATCCGCCAGCAATAATACCCAAAATTACTTACTCCATTGTTCGAGCATTACCCGATTTTACTGACCCTGCGCTGAATGTCTGATCCTCAAACATTTGCCAAAACGATTTGAGCAGAAATGTTCAATCATACTGATTACCAACGCACGTTAAATTACTGACCGAACCGTCCTATTACTGATTGTGAATACCAAACACTTTCAAGAGTGCTATGCTCATCAATTTTCTGACTCTGAAACCGTTTGAAAATGTCCAGGTGGTCCGTATCAACATCCATTTCTATGAACAAACATTTCTAGATCCTTCATTCAGTTTAATGTAGATGTCTTTATTGAAATCCTGAAATAACCGCCAAAAGTTGCTTGATTTTACCGTGTCCACTCAGGTAGTGCAACGCAACACGTATCATTGAGAGCGAATGACTGAATGCCGGAACACCGTTGTTTCATAGTCTCCTATAAGTCAACTGACTAACAAGTCAGCATCTTCTTCAGACCCGTTATACTTGCCTGATGCCAGTTTCAAAAAGGCGTACAAAGATAACTTCAACTTGTTGGTGAATCATTATGAATTGCATGCACAAGACGCGGTTAAGTTCGTTTCCATAATTTACTGTAATGTATCCAAGGGGAAGCTGGTTGAATCAACAAGGAGAATGCCACAAAGCGAGGGGCAGCACGCTGCACACTGATCCATATATTCAACCATGGACATTGCCACTACAGCGTACTAAACAAAGTATGAGTACTTAAACCCTGTGCCGAAGGCTGTGTAAGCGTCCCAGTAGTTAGAGAAGTGAGGTTCAAATCCAAAACTGGTGACGCATTGTCAAATGTCTCGCCGACCCAGCGGCGACTGATGAATAACAATTCTTAGATAATGCGGTTCGCTTTTCATGACACAGGTGAGCGGACTAATTTGACCTCCGATTGCATTACTTGGTACACAGTGCAAGGTATTAAAACGGGACGGTAAAATAAAACAAACATTTGACATTCCCAGTCCTCTCAGAATGACTGGATAATTCGCAGCTTTCTCTAAGTTAGTAGACAATTTCGGTTCTCTTCAGCGACGAATCGTCCTCCGTGCCTTTCCCGACAATATCCAGTCCCCATGAAATTCCAACCGGGCCTAAATACGAACCTTTGATTATCAATATGTTTCTTGTTCAAACAAAAGTGTAAGATCAGCACAGGAAAGAGCGCTGTCAACACACTACCCTATACGCAGGCTTAACTTCCCAATTGGTTGCCCCATTCACGTACACAAGCCATCATTTGTGCGCCTAAAATGTTGACTGTTCAGGAAATCCAGCATCCGTAGCGAGGTACGGGGACCCGATGGAGTCCATTTGGATCATATCTTCGTAAAGTCAGTTGAACCAGTGCATCCGTCAAGTTGGACGCAGTGAACACCGTTTGTTGTTTCAGTTAATGCTAGACTCCCAGGACATAACTGGTGTTTTTGATTGGCGTCTTGGATCAGATAAGTACGGTGGCTTTCTAACCATTAAATGACCGGATTCCATTTTGGTCAAATGGATATGAAATATCTAGGCGAACCGTCCCTCAGAAGTTTCATTTGCTGGATTTGCAACGTCAACGCAAGAGTCCCCCTAGGGTTCTAATTCGCTTTTGATATTTTTATACTCCACCCCAATGATTCACTTTTTTTATTGCACCCGTAACTTTGACAATGATGCCCAAGCAACCGAACACCGCCTAATTTCGGATAAGTTCCTGCCGATCAGTAGTATATTAAACGCAGAGGTAGTTGCCGTTTCCCACATAGATTCGCGAGAAGTAGAGACAGTCGAACCACTTGAAACTGAGACTACTTCCTCCTCTCCCTTTTAGGGCTCGAATTCTGCTTTTTTAACTCCCTGAGTGTGTAGTTACAACTAGTGGCGACCTCAACATTTAAAGAATGCCTTGATAATTTCTCAGCTCATACTTCTTTGCCAGGCCGTGGATTGACCGACCCTGGGTCATCTACATCCAACACAAGAATGAGCAAAAGGGGCTCTACCAGGCAAACAATCGCCTGGTAATAATCCAAGGCCACCAAAAAAAATCACAGTCCCTTTTATGGTTCTCCCTGTCTGGAGTTTTTTCAGATTGAGGGGGACTGTTATGACAAGTAGCCACTATGGAGAAAAAATGGAGCCAAGGACGTAAAATGAACACAGAATCTAAGGGCGACGTTAACAAGACAGTACATACTGGAGAATATACACAAGGACGTAGATTGACAAATCTTTTGACTGCTTGACTCACTGTGAGAGGTTTGTAGTAAATGTTCTGTAGCATCCAGACTAACATCCTTGGTTGCAGACACGGTACTGACGTAGATTACAAATCTTTTGACTGCTTGACTCACTGTGAGAGGTTTGTAGTAAATGTTCTGTAGCATCCAGACTAACATCCTTGGTTGCAGACACGGTACTTTCATTTAGCTGGCTGCTCTGAACTGGTCTGTTTTCTTTCATCTCCCCGTGTACTAAATCCAACAACTCATTCCACGACAAAGAATTCAGAGGATTTTCCGGATAAGTTGAGGGATACCTGCGTAGAAGCCACATTGACTGAATATGGTGTTCTTGACGATATTGGTGCAGGCGTTTCCAGATGGCCGGTGGCAAAATTCCACATGGCCAAGTAGTTGATTCTGCTCGTTCAACAGTCCGACGATAAAACTGATGCATCACATCCTCGCAATACGAATCACCACCAAGCTGCGAATTGGATACAGCACGGATAAGTTACGAGCAACATCCAGTTACCATTGGATTTCAGCCTGACAAGCTAGGGGGCTGCAACATAATACTATGAATCTAACATCCGGATAATGCTTGGTGGCACCGAATTAGTAAGAACTAAACCTCGGATGGATGTGAAGAAAGATCTAAGCAACAACATAATAACAACATAATATTGTCGAAGTGCCAAGTGGTTTAGTGAATGAAGGATTAACTATATTTTTTGGAAAAGACGGGTGTTAGTAGGTCCAGTGGCATTCGAGTGTGAGAAACAGCGGGGCCAATCACAAAAACGCTAGTTGAATAAGTTCCCCTACCTAGAAAAGATAGGCTCCATTGATCGTTCATGCAACTGTAGCACTTTTTCAGTGCATAATTGCCATGCCACCAGAAGCACGAGGGCTGGTACACCGCCAGGTTGCCCAAGCCTAAACAGGAAGTCGAGACGCCGAGGTCGGGTTCGAACCACCGATCGTCCGGTCAGCGAATTCGAGCTCTTATCACTCAGCTATCTCCCCCAATTGATCATTACACAGCATTCACTGGACTCCCACTGTAGAGGATACAGGATAGTAGGAAGGAACAGGATTCAGAATTGCCTAGAAGTTCACGAATACGATTACACCGAGTCCTCTTCCGAGTAACAAAAGCTTATCCCTCTGATCATTTAGGTAGCTCTTCGGATCATTGGGATTGCAAATCAAAGTATGTCCGTAAACGAGATTTAAAACCATCGATCCGCGCGTTTGCCAATTAGAAACACCTAGGGCGTCAAAGCGGTATATCCCTGAATCTCAAGGGACGTGTGTATCAGGCTACGGCGCGGGCTGTTTTGTTGTATGGCTGAGACTTGGTCTGTTCGAGCAGAGGAACTGAGACGTCTTCAGGTGTTTGACAATCGTTCTTTCCGGACCATAGCTCGTGTAGACCAGTGTCGGCAAATTCGTAACGAGCCAAGTAGAAACCGAGTTTTCGGCCGTGAAACAGGAATTTCCATTGAAGTGTGTCAAGCAGCAGAAGCTGCGTTGATTATGCCACGTATTGCGCATGCCTAACCATCGTTTGCCGAAGAGAGTGCTGTTTTACGCGCCAAATTCAGAGTAACGGAAGTAAGATGGGCAACCCTTGACCTGGCAGACGGGTGTGAGATTACGAAACGTTTGTATCCTTTCGAAGCTACTCGCCTACCAGGATAGGGACCTCGTGATTTCCACTGCGCCTGATCGGAGACGCTATAAGATATGGCTACTAATCGATGTGAGTGTCGTTCGTCTTGTCAGTTTCTATCTAGGTTGCCTGAATGAGTGTTTGGAGGAGTAGGCACCTCGGAATGATTGTAGCAAGGTAGCACTAAGTACCTTCCCTGTCCATCTTTATTTTCTTTACAATAAGGCTTTCAAACAAATCATGATTGTACGGCAGCGAAGCATCGGTGTAGAACACTGATGTCATGCTGTCCAGAATGATATGCCGGCCACCAAACTGATGCTTCGGTGGTTCTCGCATTACATCCACAATTTCTAAAAACAGGAATTATTGAAGGGGCGCTCCGCACTCCAAATACTTTGAAGTAAGGTTGTCAGGATAGCTATGACGGACCCTATGACCTTATGAAGAGCGCAGGATGCAAACAATCTGGAACAAGTGTTTTGCTGCTCTCAGGTAATGAAATTGTACACGGACCTCCGTTGCTGATGGCCGACTGATATCCACATTCTACTCGGTTTTATTTAGTCCTTACAGAAGGTGAGTCGATGGGAGCAAGCAGAACTTCTTCAAAGTGTATACTTTTTTGTTATTGAAGTGAAATCCGATTTTTTAGACTGTCCCACTAACACTCACTCTCCTCGAAACAGTTGATCGGATTAACTGGAACGTGGTGTGATTGCTCCCAGTTACAAAGGCTCTCCTCATTTACGGGGTTTTGAGATCCACCAGCAGTCAGTCCTACGGCCCCTGATTATTTGGCACTTGAAAGATATGCGCGTACCATCAGTAGTTAGTTACTGATATGGTTTTTCTGCCTTCAGTCACAGCTGCTGATCATGACGAGATCAAGTGTCAGCTAGCGTGTACGGGTGACTACGGTCAGACGGTTTTGAAGGATGTGATCGTGGCTTCTTTCACCTTTCTCCAATCGTCACCCAAATCACCACTGTTCCCATAGAGTTCTGGGAACTCCTCAGTCAACTCAACTCGATATCACTGAAATGGAGATGCTTTGCACCTAATTTCCCACAGGGCAAGCGAACAGATGCGCGTTCCTGCACAATTCCGTCATCTGAAGACAGTGGTAAACTTCGGAATTAGCGACAACGATGTGTCGAAGCCTTCCACCGATTGTTGATTGCCACAGGGTCCAAATGAGTCCACGGGTGGTTTGCATTTGGTGATCTCCAAGTGTGTGCAAGCTAGAAATAAGTGATGCTCAGCACATAACTGAAGAAGTCGCTCCCTAGTATCTGTTCGGTGAACGTCAACCCCAAACCGGCCGCCAAGACCTAGTGGGCTAGCCTGAGCATTAATACCACCTACCAGAATCACATTCTTCTAGCTGACATACACTTCTGGCTGACAGATGCAACCGTGACAAATCTCGATAGAAGCTATCTCTCAACCTCAAAGCTACAGTCCGTCGGATATTATGCTTCCACAAAAAAACACCGTTTGCCACGTCGAGGTACATTGATCCTGACTGAATAGGAACCAAAGCGTACAGAGATGACTGTTGACTGGAGTCCAGTCCAGGAGGGTGCATTCAACACAGAGGCTAAGCACAATCCCCATGCCGTAGATACCACGAGCTATTGCATCAGGATCACTGGACATTTGAGGGGTGAGTGGCGAGAAATCTAGACTCAAACTGAGCGGTCTGAGGTGCATAACCAAACTGGGGTGTCGAAAACGTCACACATTGATCGCAGAACACTGTCTCAGCACGAGCTACCTGTTGTTCACTTTGACAGAGTACGTAGGTTGGAAGTAATGTGTAACAGATCCCTTGAGAATATTAAGGGTTTATTTCGATTTATTTCACTGGACAGCTCAGATAGGAGGCAATGGTAAGGTAATCGGCAGCTAAATAAATCAGAACTTGGGGCAAGGGTGGTATGGGAAGTAGTCAGTGACTGAAGGGCCATGAGGGCGAATTTTCTAACCGGGTGCCCAGAACTAAGAAGGGGTTTGGTTGAAATACCCCACAGTGAACCTTTGACTCAAAAGGTTTACCCACAAGGCAGTGCGACAGTATACGGTTTTGTTCGCGGACACTCCTCTTAGCCTTGGACGAAAAAAACTTAACCACGATAAAGTCGTCAGTTTTCTTAAAGGACCCTGCCCATAGTCAATGACCATAATCTGGCCCACTTGGCTGCAATGGACTGGTCTGGAATGAGGATTCAGGGATTAAGGCACAACTGTACAACTCCCACTGTCTGCGCACAGTAGGTGCCCTTAATCATTACGACTCTTCGGTTTTAGAAGTTTTTCGACTGCGCTGAATACGGAACGGTGACGGTCAATCGTTAGGAGATCAAAGTGTACGGTTTTTAGGGCAGACATATCTACACCAGTCCTCCCCCGGAGGAGAAAGCATCGGTTCCTCAAGAAATACGGATACGCTGGACGCCTAAATTAAGCACCTTACTGTATTCAAAGCCTGGAACCCGGTAGTCCCGCACTATTTTACCTGCAGTTGTAGACCAAGAACAGCGTGAATTATCACATTTGATGCTTTGCCTTCATATGTTCGGAAGTAATGAACTGTCTACCTTTTCACCATTTACTGCGGTGGTCGACTCACGTGCGGAAAACAAGGTAGTTCTTAGCTGCCAACACATACTAACATTATGAAGAAAAGCACAGGGATAGCGAACGTGGCTACTCAATGAATCCTTAGTGGAAGGAAACAAACTCACGTCACGAAAACGGCGGTGTGAATAAACTGCTGTATAAAAGTAAAGCCAAGCTTCACCCTCATTACGCATAAACGATGATTCCGCATCCGAAGACAAGCAATCGAGAGACCTGGAGAGGGACTCCAAATTTGTACGTAGGTCCGACAAGCATGAGGTTGGAGAGGTTATCCGGACCAACATCATACGTCCCAAAGCACGAAACAGCTTATAAAGCTCTGAGTTGTCTGCCAAACTCTGCAAATGTTACGGTAAAATCAAGGAAGGACAGACCTCAAGGAAGCCAATGAAACAGTTGAACCAAGGCGATGAATTGTTGTGGTAACCAGCTTGTAAGCAATCAGTACAGTGTTCGACGGCTTCTTTGATCAGTCCCTGCTTTACTGATAATTTGATAAACCGCATACAAATATCCGCGTTTGTTGGATCGTTTAGCTAATCCGATGAGGAAATGCGAGCAAGATACCCACCAGCTGTGCCTTGAGGATGTCCAATGTGTCACATGAAAATCCTTTTGTGGTCTGTGATGGGAGGTGAGGTATTACTTCACCGCCCGACTGTTCACATACATTCGTACCAAAATAGTTCCCGTTGAGTGTGGATCTTAACTCGTTCGCTCCCAACGGACGAGCAATTACTTCATTTACCCAGGCAAGTAGGTTGACTGCATCGGCAGACTCCTTATTTACTTGAAGATACCGCTCCAAGTATCTAGAAGAGCATTATAGAAAAACTGAACGAACCCTTTCGCAACGTTGTACTCTTTCACATCAATGTACAAATTTGCGATTTTCAAGCCCAGAGCCTTACGCTAGATGGGGAAAGAAATGTTATTGTGATCACCCTTACTTCGTCGGCTGAGCTGCACCTCGACAATAGATGCGAAACATACCGATCAACCTGGCGCCTACTTTTCAACATGATAACTTCAAGCCGACCGCGCTCAGCCAGTGGCGTAAAACAATATCATTAGTTTTAGGGCATCATAGAGGGCTAAATAGGTCCCAACAACCGTTTAGTTGCCTACCAAGGGAGCTAGTTAGTGAAAGCCATCCATGTTTAATGGTAGGCAGTCAGTCGATAGCGTGCTCGAACGGGAAGAACGAATAAATATTGAAGGGCCCTATCCGTCACTCGTTTAAAGCAGTGGAGCAAGCGGCGGGGGCAACTCGATTTGAGAACCTCGTTTTAAAGCAGGAAGGGAAGTTCCGCGTTGGCGTCACGAAACCGATTGTGGAAGAACACACAGATAATAACGCAGTAAGAGCTATGTGATGAATTGAGGAAACTGCCTTAGGATGGGAGTTGGAAAAAGTGGTAGGTGTAGGTGAAGCACTAAAACAGGAGGATACATCATTCTGGGACAAAATCTCTGGGATAGATATTCTGTAAAGATGGGGTACTGATTTTATGACTCTCTACCGGATATTCGTTTAACGATCCTGTCGAAGAAACTAGAGCGAACTGCAGTGTTCCATGAAAAATTAGCTAAGTTTGCACAGAAGGTGATACAACAGCGCTGATCCGTGGAAGGAAAAGTAAAATGGAGGTAAAAGACAACTGGTGCCACCATTGTTTCCCGGAATAAACGATCTTGGTTAGGCAACCGCTGAAGCAGTTCGAAATATAGGGGACCATTTGGGGCCCTGCCGCTACTCCATAGCTTCGTACTGTTTGTAGTACATTTAGGCTTCTACGCGACCCATATTCCGTGGAAGTGTCAAAGCAGATCATTTTGTAGCCTGACGTCAAGATCCCGTGGTTTTTGTTCTCCGCGGTTGGTCATGGTCCGGTTATTATTATCAGACTAGGAGATGGAGTAAACGAATCCATTTCACCGTGCAATTGCAGTTTTGGTGACAGCAAAAGCTGTGTAGATGACAGCAGGGTTTTGTGTGAGGAGACTAATGACGGCCTATCCCGAATCGTACTTGGGCTTAGGGGCAGCAACGGCAATTTAGATGTCCGGAGTATATGTGGGTTGGAAGGTTGGCGAATATAATTTTGTAAACACACTTGAAGGGCAGCGGGTAATTCCCCTGCTGGGCTGCTGGGCTGGCATAAACTCTAATTTTGTTGGGAGTAGGAAGCTGTGAATCAAGTATGCGACGGATAGGGTAGCTTGGTGCCCACAAACTGTGCATTATGTCTCTACTACCCAAGGTGCAAACTGACTGATGTCGCTTTGTGTCCAGATGGGATACTGTTGCTTGGTAATCGTGAACGAGAGGTTTATTCAGGAAGTGTCGGCTTGGCCTAAGACAACCCAGAAGCAGTTTGTTTGGCCGGAGCCAGGTGTTGGCCTTCGTGGCCTACGTGTCGGTCTGAAGGGCCGTTTTGTAAGCCGCTTTAGCTCAAACGCGAAGTTGACCATGCTGACAGACACCGACGGGTTTGGACCTGAATTCGCCCTCTCAACAGATGGTAGACAGATCCGCAACATACAACAGGCAGTTATTAGCTGTAGTATCAAGCTGGAAGATGTTGTCAACAAGAAAATCTGGTGTTACATGAAATGGCTTTGGGTAGCAAGCTGGAAGATCTTGTTGACAGGAAAATCTGGTGTTACATGAAATGGCTTTGGCGGAGTGTGTAGAGATAAGCGGCCACCAAGGCAGCAGCAGTACTGCGGCCGTTAACCGTTGTTTAAGTTTTTGTGTTGGAAGCATTGTGACGAGCGGCTGACTCGTGGTAGATGAATCTTTCACCAATGGAAGAGGAGTCCTCTAATCCGAGGGTAAAAATGGACATCAGAGCGTGCAAAATGACATTGCTGTTTGTCTTGGTCCCCTCCAGGTGAAGTGAAGACCATGAATTTACATCCCTGGTTCTTGCCGTATCCCCTGCTTGAGCAGGCAAGAGAGTTTCAGTGTACCCTCAGGCGAGTCATTTGAGCTGCACCACTGAATTACGGGCATGTATGGAGTTTATGAGTCCTTATGTATGGTAACACGGTAAACGGGGGCCTACGGCAATATACATCACTGCTGAGGGGGGTATGGAGGGTGAGCGATCGATTGTTTGGTGTGTAGATGTTGGCTGTTCGCGCGGGATGATGCAAACCATAAATCGATGGCCACAGACCCGGTGTGAAAATGCAACTTTCAGCTCTGTTTGGAGGTAATTATCATGCGGCGTGATTGCCGAACCATTGGTCTTTAGCTATATGCTGGACATGACCCCGAAATTCCAGCTTGTTGAGGATTGGGTACAATTATGTCTTTGTTCAAACATATACATTAGGAACCGGAAGAACACAAAAAATTAGGAAGAGTGTGGCCAGAATTTATCTCGCAAGGAAAAATGTGTGATCAAAGCAGTAAGGCAGAAAACGATAGTAAGGAATCCTCGACAGTTCCCTTGTGATCCTTCACACGATCCACAAGCATGCTTCTGTGTTTCGACTGTACGTGGTACTATCCATTTTGGCCTATATTGAAGTAAGATTCATTAGCAGCCCAGGTGCTTGTTTAACGTAGTCGCAGCGCCTTTTCAATGTTTCTGTAAGCTAGCCCTCAGTTCTTGTTTCGGTTTTAATTTCCAATGCAGGGCGATTTCAAATAGGTGGCCCGCTGCGTTGCCGGTTACCCTAAGGACCACGCCGAGCGCGCGCGAATCCCGCATTACACCGTCGACTTACTGTTTCACAGGCAACAAATTTTGATATATCATTCTTTTTAAGTGTCCTCTTCAGGTCTCAGAAACGGGAAAGTCCGTAGAGTAGGGAGGTTGCCATGATGGCTACCGTTATGACTGAGTCGCATCAACTTGAATCTGGGCCTTCTGCATCGCCCGATCCACCGACGGGCTTACATAGTTGACTGTTAGGTCTCAGAAACGGAAAGTCCGTAGAGTATGGAGGTTGCCATGATGGCTACCGTTGTGACTGAGTCGCATCAACTTGAACCTAGGCCTTCTGCATCGCCCAATCCACCGACGGGCTTACATAGTTGACTGCTGCCCAGAATTTTCTCCCCGTACTCAACTTAATATCCGTAACTCTGAAAGTTTACTCCCATTGTCGACGTGTCAAACTGTCTTCAGTCAAAGCTTTTTCCTTTGTCCGTATGGAACAAGCTCCCTTGTCCTATCCATACTATCTCATCTCACATAGGCTTTGGAAAGGCCATCGATTCTTACCTTTCTATTGAAGGAGTCGAGCTTTTTCGCGCCTTTTTTGAAACAGGTCCTAAGTCCTTCTAGTCTGCGCACTCACCCTGACTGTCCTGTTACTAGGTCCTAGCATTTACGCTCATCAGCTTGAGACCCTTAGCAATAGCCCACAAGCGCGGCAAACACTCTTCCAAGTGTTCTTCTCTATAACGTTCCACTTTATTTATCTCTTATGCAGACGTTCACTTCCTGCGACTACATCTTCCGCTCTCTAAAAGCATAGTTGAGTCGCAGCGAATGCCTAGCACCTGCTATCGCAATTGTCGTCAAGCCCTCTCCACTGACCTTGCTCTGTTTCCTTCATCCGGCCGTAAGCTTTTGTACCCAGCCAAATTATTCCCAGTTCTTTAAGCCTGGTCCCATCCCTGAGTAACGCTGTCAGCTCTATTTAATGTCTGGTGCTTTGCTTTGGCTGGATTAAACTAACCCCAACCGAACCGAAGCCTAAGTTCCTCGCTGTTCCAAACCACTCTGCATCCCCTCTACACGCGCAGCGCACGCATATCAAATGGTGGGTCTGAAGACGCACTATGATTGAAATACTTGTTTGGCCCCACAGCCAATACTTCATACACACACATGACACTAGTGCGCCTCTACCTGAAAAGGTGGTTCACACCACTGCTTCGACTTTGTTTAGCCATAGTACACAGGCTCTGAACGTCTCCATTCAACTCCCATAACCCAAAAGGCAATAGATGTTTCATTTGCCTGCACGACTTGCCTCCCCCAGTGACTGTTTGCTGTTTAATTGTTCGAAATGACTGAGATGTTTTACTGCCCTGGCTCTCCCACCGACCGGATAAAATATTTGGTGGCTGGAGTTATATAATAATGCACAAACCGCAAATATGACAGCTTGGTGGCTTGACACCCTACAGATCTGGCAGCATGCACGAGCGATGAATACCACGTGTGGTGGACGAGCTCTGCAGGAATGGCACCTGGTACGTTGTAAAATGGTGGGTTCGTTTACTCGCCACCGGTAGCACGGGTATCGCTCACAGCCGGTGGTTCTTAGCCTAGCCTTTAGTTCAGGAAAACAAAAAAGGGCACCGTTGGTGTTTGTCTGTAGCTGAAATGGGCTTGTTCCGGTTGTAACTTGCTCGCAACACTAAAAATGCAGGAGAATGACAGCTGTCCTTCCGTTTGTTCAAAAAATATAAAAATACATTTATGCATGGGATAGACTGAGGGTACTGTGTGAGGCTCCCGCCTAACGTCGACGTGCAAGGAGTTTCCACTTTCATCGTAGTTGGGTCACCCCACCCCAAGTCCACTTCATCATCCAAACATAGCACATATGTTCTTCCCTCTTGTCATCTAGAGCGATCATATGCACAAAATGCTAATAACTTAACATTTCCTGATTACAATCAGTCACAGTTAGCACCTACTGCCTGTTTTTCGCCACGCACCATTCGTTTCCTGGAGTTGACAGCAGTGACTCGGCGACTGGTGATCCTTAATCTTACTTTCGTGTTAGGTTGATGTAGTAGATCTCAGTTAAGCTACGATTCTTATCAACAATCTGGGAAGCTGTTGCTTGTCCGGTTATTACTTGTCCACTGTCAATGCTCGCGTTAACCCCTCTTTCTGCACGACAAGGACCCGATGTCATGATGCTTTGGTGAGCCAAAATCTTCCGCCCGTTCTCAACTAGTCCAACAACTAGCCCCCCTGCCAACTGCCTCACGACAATATTCTGACTTTCTTAAAACCAGGCACAGACTCCGGTCCAATCAGTA